TGACACTTCATTTTTCTCCAGTGCAAAATCACATGCCACAATTTATGGCCAGCTCAGTAGCAGTTGCATCAGCAGGACACCTGGAGTCCAGTCTTCCTTCAGCTCCTCCACTCTAAAAACGCACATGGTGTTTTCTCACCAGACAGCTTCTTAGTTGAAAGTCTGCCTTTTACACGAGCAGCGTGGATTTTGCTTCGCTCATTGCCGTCTCTTCATCCAAAGCTTTATTAATACACATGCCTAGTAGCTGATTGCCACAGGAATTCACCGGATCCTTCTAGTAGATCCCAGACAGATGTAACCCAGCACAATACATTTCCCATAAACCCCAGCTGAATCCTCTTCCTGTGCCATTTCAACCTCTCATATCTAGTCAACGACTGTCTGAGTCTTCAATTCTGTAGACTCCGACAACTATTTGACTCTATCCATGAACAAACAGTATCTCCTGTCAGTGAACGCACCTTCAGCTCTTGCACTTCTTGTTCACCCCATCTTCAAACTTAGATCTGAAGGGAGGGAACAAGAAATACGATGGACAAAGTGGAGCTGGCTGTGTTGAAGAGGCAAAACTAGGCAGTCCCTCATTCCACTAAGAGGCGATTCACAACTCTGATTTAAACTTTTGTCTATTACTATTAAATACCGCTCCTCATTTTATAATACTTTATGTATCTTGCTTTTAAATTACTATCGCAGCGCACATAGTGGTCTGCTGATTTGCAAAGCAGGAACAAGGAAACTATATGAACAAGTAAAAGCCTGCTGTGTTAGAAAGAAGAGGATCTATTAGTCTTTGCCTTTGTCTTCCAGAAAGAGACCTCCATCGCCTGATATGTTGTTTCCCTTTTTACCACCTCTTTAAACTCTTGGATATCTGGCGTTAGAGAAAATGTATGTATTTCCAGAATAGGAATCAATCTACTGTATACTTTTATACACGTTTTAGTCTTGTTTAAATTTTTATATATATCCAATAATTCAAATACAGTTAAAACGAAACAACCAGTAATAATCCTGCTGCACAATATGATGAAATTATCAAATACTTGTTTCACTTAATCTTACTAAAGTCCCTCGACAACAAATACAACATCAATATTCACTGCTCAACTGAATTCCCACCACTACCGTTCGAAATCAATTTACTTCATTAAGTTTACCGATGGACTTTGTGACCCCAATAAATCTTATGTAATACATTGAGTTATATATATATATTTTTAGGTGTTGTGTTGATAAACTGAACCAACAGACATCAGACCTTTAGACAGATACATTACTCATCATAATCAGCAAAATCCAGTGATGAATAGCTAAATAAAGACCTTTCTAAAAAATCTCAACACATGGGTAATTAACTGCGGTCATAATACTCACTCGTTACTGATATATTCGCTGTGGTTTCTATGTGAAGTCGTTCGTATGTAAAAAGAGATAAAAGTTCGACATAGCATTATAATTTTCTTCACTTTCTTTCCACTTGAAAGGTGAAATCACTAATCGTATCTTTCTCCTGTTTGAAGCACTCATGACATGTTGGAAATAGTTTCTACCCCCCGTGCTGTGTGCAAACCCGCTCTATTACACCCTCAAACAAGACCACTTGCACGTCGGAAAAAATGAGCTGGATCTACAAATACACTACAAAGCATAAATGGCTGTGAATTTTAACTTCATATCTTTTCATGTTTATGATGGCACTTCACGTCTTTGACGCCCAAACGATCTTGGATAAATCAGACCTCCATGTCACGAGGCTTAAGAAATAACCAATCGCTCCGATCAGCTATGTAGTACACATGGTTCACTGAAACCCAAGTAGTTGGCATGTAAGCTAGTTGTGTAGCCTTGAAGGTTATCTTAGTGAAAATAAACGTCACTTGAAAAGTTACTTTTTTATCATGATAATTTGTAATCATTTAAGTAATCAAACAGATTCTGGTACAACTTTCTGTTTGAGCTAGCTTTTAGGTGCAGTTAAAGCAGGAATCTACTAACCTGACAACAGTTTTTCGCAAATTAGCAGCAAAATAAACAAACAATTCTATAAAAGGCTGTGGTCCGAAAATCACTTCTCCTTCATTACTACTGTAATTGCAATAAATTTACCCTATATACATATTTAATTTATCTCCGAATTCTTAGTGGAAAAATCATGAGTCCAATGGAATCGTACATTATCCATGCAAACAAATTCCGACGTGCCAATTTTACACGTTGCAAACGTTAACAGCTCGGGTGACATTATGCCCTGTAATGCAAAGTGATGACAACAATGACAATGTTTCTAGGGTGTGAAATCTTAATTAACCTCTCACTAACAGTGTAACTATTGTGTATCTACAGTCGAGTAGTGAATTAGGATTGAAGGGTGATTTCAGACACATCACCTGAAGAAAGTGCTCGTTTAAAAGTATCTAAGGTCACAAAGTTGAGGCCTGGCAGGGCCCTAGCAAGCACGACTCGGCCATCTCTCAGCGCAGCGAATTGACAGTCTGAGGTGGGAGTTGAAGCATCGGGATCTACTGCATGCCCAGCTGGAGCGTTGAGGCAGAAGCGGTCGGATCAGGTGACGCTGCTGTTCCTGGTGTTATTCTGCCTTGCAAACTGGATAGCAGTCCCTTCAGGGTTAAACACGCCACCCATGTCTCATCTAGTGGAGGTGAGGAGCAGACATCTATGCCGTCAGAATCTCGACGTTTTATTCCACACACAAGCTGCCCTTAAATAAATCAGTTAAATTGGCAAGAAATGTAAGAAACCCTTCTGGATGTTGTTTTTGTGAGGCAGTGCAGTAAGTATTGAATAAGACCCAACCACTTGGTTTTATTTTAAAAAATGGATCAATGGCGTATTTAAAGCATTATTCAATAAACTTACACCCATATTTTTACTCTCTACTTCATTATATCTACTATTAAGAGCAGTTAGTTTCTTTTGTGTAAGTTTTGAGATTAAAATTACTTTCTTCATAAAATGAATCCATATGAAAAACTGTTTGCAGCAGTTCATACGCTTTTTGATGTTGTGAAAAGTTTAAATATCATTCCACCTCCATTGTATCTGAGGACTAGAGGCAGGGATACAATGGGACAGATAATCTTAAATTAGAACAGTGGGAGCCAAAACCAATCTGTACATAGCCTAGATACCATTTAGGTCAGTGGGATTCTTTTTCAGCCGGACTCTTTCATATTACAGATGCATCTAATATAAGACAAAGAACCCAACCAAACACTTGAAGACCTAGACATCTTTGGAAACCATGACAACCATGCCAAACCTTTGTATAGGATTTAGAGGTTCTTCAATGGGTTGCAACTGTAACTCTACAATTCGACTCAGATGTTTCTCTACTGTTCGAGTTTTACCTAGAAATGGGTTCCGTTGGCAGGTTGCAGCCAGGGGAAAGTATCACTCAGAGCCACTGAAAGTGCACTTGAAGTTTTCTCACTTTTCTAAATTTAGGACTCCGTCTCTCATCAAGCCATCATCTATTGGCTCGTTACTGTACTACTAGTCGACAGAGAACTAAAGTACAATATTTACTTCCTCGCAGCCATGCTCGTATCAATATATTAACAATAATAATAATAATAAAAGATAATAATAAAAAATAATAATCACATCTAACCATATAATAATAAATACTAATATGATATGCCAAAATAAAATTAAGACAACATATTGAGGCAGCAAGCAGAACTACAGTAAATAAGTTGAGAGATTAATACCTGACCTACGACATCTCTAACTGCAGTACTTTGGACCACCACCCGCACTCTTACTCCAACAGGTTATTTTGCCTAAATAAGTCTAAAGAAGAGGCACTAGTTCCAAATCTCTGCAATCTGCTTCTTGCATGTTTTTCTCTGTAATTTTATGAATAAATGGCAGCATATTGTACTGAGGCCACAGTGTTGCGTTAAAAAACGACTCACCGCTGACGGGCCGGCTTCCTGTCTGACCTCCTGACCTCCACATTTCCCAGCCCCCGATGAAGTCTGGGCTCGACAGGTGAGTCTGTCGGGATGTCAAAAGATCCCAGCCTCCGTAGCGCGATCTTTGAGCAGTCTTTGTCTCTGTCAATCTGGAACATCACCATGCTTCTGGTACAGGTAGATGACTCAAAAAACCTGAAGCACAGGTGAGCACAAAGGTAGGCTTTTTTTGGGTGGAGTTTTTTTCTTATCAAATCGAGTGTCGTATGCTTGTTTATTCTAAAAGACAATGAACTGAAAAAATAACATGTTGACACCAGGATTCAGTTCACAGCTGCATTAGCTTATTTTTTTCTGGCTCTTTGGGGTCAACAGGTGATAACACATCATCTGACATTGATTCACCTCCAGCTGTTAAATTGTAATTATTTCAGTTAAATTATGTATATTATTTTCAAAAATATGTCTTTAAAAGGTGCCTTATTAGAAAATGATGTCTTTATCATTATTGTTAACATTTATTTGATACAATTTATTATTTTAATGTGTATAGTGTAGATGTAGATGTGTAGATTTTACAAAACCTGGCAACTCAAAGTTTGTTGTTATTACTGGCTTATAACTGATTTATAAAGCTTTAGTAACATTTAACATTTAAACATCAATAAAGCCTTACTGATGAACTCTTAATAAAAATGTTATGTCTGTCTAGCTAGTATTGTGATCATTTATTACATGTAATGTACTTTTTATTGTTTGTGTTTTGTATTTGTATGTTTATTTAAATTATTTTTTTGTATTCCATCCATGTATATTGGTGCCTTTTATGCAATTCAATTTGCTGTATTTACTGGGGGGAGGGGTTAGAAGGGTGGGAGATATTTTCTGAATATTATCACTGTGTCACAATACTACAATACTGTGATATTCAAATAAAGATAATGTTGAGAAATGTATATCACTGCAGGATAATACATTATTATTAGTTTACGATATATTTTACTGCGTGCAACAGGCTGATATTAAAACAAATCGTTTAAGGAGAGAGGATCTTACTTCTGACACGGGGTGTGTTTCTTGTGCTGTTGCAGGATTCGGATCCTCTGGTTCAGGCCGTCGTAGGAAACGGCTGCACGGTTGTTCCTCCCGGTGCTGTGGTCGTACAGCACCCACCTGCCCTCCCACTGCAGCGGGGCGAGGCAGGGCCCGGCCGCCTTAGTGATATTCAGCCTGGGGAGGCCGAGAACTGATGCTCCGGCCAGAACCACAAACAACAGACGGTGCATGACGACAGGAGAGTCCCGTTAGCTAGCCCCGTAGTTGTTATCGCTGACAGCGGGCTGCACCTGCGGCCCACAAGCTCTCTAGAATTAGCTGAAGGTTTTCCGGATGTGCCTTTCACAACAAAAGCACAGATTAAATGGAACTACAGGATTTTATTAGTCATATAATATTTTTTATATTATTTTATTGTGTTCCACTTAATATAGGTATTTGATATTTCTATGCACTTTTTAAATCTCTAGAAATGTTGGTGCTGACAAAAATGCTAAATAAATGTCTTGATGGCTTGCTTTGGTGCTACCATTTCAAAATAAGAAACCCCATTTTAAAAAGATCAAAATAAAAGCCAAGTCAATATAAATGTAGCAAATGACAAATATATTAAACCTACGGTATTAATAAGTTAAAAGTTAAAATAAATTGCTTTAATTTAGAAATAAAAACATTTAAATTACTTGATATTATTTGATTGTGATCCTCCTCTCCGCCACTAGAGGGCAGATGTTCCCAGCAGTGCCCATCTTTTGACGTCACACAACCAACATGGCGAAGAAACAACGTGGGAAAACAACTTCACAGTCAAAGACGGCGAATAACGAAAAACAGGAAGAAAATTTCACTTTAATGCTCGAGTCCAGTGACGATGAAGCGCCCGAAGAGGTGACATTTGAAGACTCGAAGGCTCAGGCTCTACGGAGCATGAAACGGGCGCTGGATACAGCCAGGAGGTAGCTAACAGCCGGCTAACTAGCTCATGTGAACGGGGGAGACCATTAAACTAAATTACATCCAAAACAAATTAGTTTACTGTGTTTTCATGCTAATGGGTAGAATAAATACACAACAATGACCTATCCATGACATATTCTGATTTCTTCGGGGGAAATTTTCATATCGACCCGCAGAATGAGCAGCTGGTAATTTAACAGTGTATTTAAAGTGTATGGAATTGTTTCTCAATGCAACAAAACTACCACGGTACGTACGTCTGAGACGGCAGAAAAGCCGAGGGATTTTTGTAATGCGGCTCTGTTGTTGGTCTGTTTTTTTTGCCGATATGGACAGTGTCTCCCAACAATTCAGAATACCGGTAACACCGAATTAAAAAGTTGTTTAAAGCAGTTTCGTCCAGACGAAAAACCCTAATAATAAATGTTAAACATTAAACCAGTAATACAGCTATTTTTGGTATCATTCCATGTGTTTGGGTCAACGATGTATGTTCATGTTTGCAGGGAAAAAGAGCTGCTGAAGGAGAAGAGGAGGAAAAGGCAGGAGCTGTTCCAGGAACAGAAGGTCTGTGTGTGTTTTGATAAAACAATCTCAAAAACAAACCTTATTAACTGTTTTAATATCCCTGTGTAAGTTTGGCGTTTGTGCTTTTATGTATTGCAACCATAAACATGCTGTAAACAACTTTGAATAGGCTGTTTTTGTTCCTCTACATCTGCCCCACACATACAGTACAGTGTAATTCTCATACCAACGAGATACATGGTTCTGCTGTAATTTAAAAGGCAGTGGCAGGCAGTGGAAGGCAGTGTTGGACGGTGAGTCCACTTTGGTTCAGACTGAAATAGCTCAGCAACTATCAGACGGAGTAGCATGAAATTTTGTGCAGACATTCATGGTCCCCAGAGGATGAATCCTACTGACGTTGTGATCTCCTGACATTTCCTCTTGTCCTGAATCTCTTTGGGTTCTGGACTAGAAAACAGGAAATGTTTGATGTTTGTAGCTTATTAAAATCACAGGAACAATTATTGGATTATCAAAACAACAAATTATAAAATAAATTATAAATAGATTAATTGTTGCAGCTCAATTTTGGTTTATTACTGCTTTTACCAAATACCTGCAAAACCAGTGACATTATTATGCTACAGGTACAGCCTCATGTTTTTGTCTTGTCCTTTATATTGTTGATGTGTTTGCTGAATCATGGTCAGAAGGGATTTCTTGTACTTTTCCTTTTAAATAAAGCTTTTGTGTGATCTTTCTTCATTCTTCTGATTCCCACAGAAAAGAAAACTCTTACCGGACGACCTGTTGGAAGAAATTGACTCAGCTTCTTCAAAGTAAGTTTATTGACCTACCTCATTCTTCAGCTCTTTGATTTTATGCATTTCTTTACAGCCGTCCCTGCTCAGTGAACATTTAAATCTTCTTTATTTTCCAGGAAACAGAAACAGTCTGAAGATGAAGGTGAAGAAGCTTCCCATCCTTCTGACATATTTTAAACATTTAGCTGACACTCTCAGATCAGTATGACTTACTTTATCCTTTCTCCCAATTCAACCTGCTCTCACCAGCTGAAGAGGAGCGTCAGGAAGATGATGAGGAAGAGAGCAGGAAGAAGAAAAAGAAGAGGAGTGGGAAATTTGTACATGCTCGAAAGTATGTAAATACACCTTTTTAAAGGAGCTTTGCTATTGCTACAGAGCTAACTTTAGCATTTACTGACCAGTCTGGAAGACTGGAAAGAAGTGGAAAGCAATGCCAATGTTATCTCTTTGCGTCTCCTACTGGAGTTAGCATGCTAATCAGCTAACCCCACCCTGTCTCGTCACTTTCGGATAGCGACTCACTGTAGCTGCCAAGACGTAGCGCTGCTCAGAGGACGTATCGTAACCTCTTGTCTTGTAAATGCAACGATGGCCAAAGCTCTTGTCAAGTGACAATCACCACCACCCGCTCCCACTGAGAAACCACGTTCAGCAACAGAGAAAGCTTACAAATAGCCCCTTTTAATTATTGTTTTGTCAGCAATTCAATTGTAATTAATCACCAAGCATGCACTGGCTGCTCGTCCTGAAATCTAACCATCAAAGTAGTTGAACAAAATAATCTCAACTCAAGGTCCACTCAGAATTTCATTTGACTCTATCCACAGATTAATCCTGTGAGATGCATTACAGCATTTTTACGCAGGTTCATTATCAGCAGTACAGAAGTGTGATAGTCTGACTCTTGGTGTCCAGAATCTCTAAACCAGCTCTGTAAAAAAAAAAAGTGGCTTTCCCAGTTTGGTGTGGAAGAACTTAACCGGCCTGCACATGAGCACTGACCTCATCCCCTTCCAGTGCTGACTGAGATCCAGACCTCATCACCCAGCGTCGGTGTCGGACCTCACCGAAGCTGTTGTGTTTGAATAGGAGCAGGTTCCAAAATCTACCAGAAGAGTGGAGTTTGTTACAGCAGCAGGTTAAATCCCATAGTTTTAGACTAGCATGTATGTGGGTGCAATGTTCTAGTGTCCACATACTTATTTCCATATGGTGTATTGGGATAAATGATATGGATACTGGCCAAGACAGGGAACATACTGGCTCCAGATTTAACCAACCAGTAACTGTTACATCTGTTTGTTTCTGTTTTTTTTTTTTTTTTTAATGAAACTGGACTCCTTCCTGTTTGTCAGTCTGAAGGGAAACTACACGGTGGCGACGATGAAGGAGGAGCGAGCGTCGGCGTCCTTTCAGCAGCAGGCGGCCAAGGATTTCATCCAGTCCAGACTGTACGGACCAGGAAGCTGCAGGACCACAAGTAAGAAGGCAGCGTTCACACTGCATGGAGTATCACCAGCAGACACTTACCGTAAAAAAACCAATTTAGAGCCAAGATGTACTGTCAAGTGATCACGTGATTGATCACGTGATTAATCACCTACAGATCCAGACTGACCCCAGATCTGCCGTATTTTACATTCTGACCAAAAAATCCAATTACAATTTATTCAGTTGTATATTATTCTGCAAGAACTTACAGAATATGATTTTTAAAAAGTGAATTTTATCATTGTGTTATCTAATATATTTATAATGTATTAAGAGGGTTTAAATAAAAGGAAATTGTCTGAAATGAAAACACAATTCTCCTACGAGACGTTCTGCTGTTGTCACACGACGTACGTCAGCGAAATCACATAATAAAGAGAATTCAGTTCCACCTTGAGAAGTACAGAAAGTAAAGATGTATAGACAGTGATTGTAAATCACATCAATGTCAGTTTTATTTAAAAAAAAAAAAAAAAAAAAAACTCTGCAAGCTACACTCTGTGGCAGTAGTCTGTAAAGACGATGATCTGTCTCAATTTGAGTTTTGCTACAGCCACGTCCCGACTCGTCTCACTGAAGGAGTCCACTCTCCGGGGATTCCTGCCCTAGACGACGGCGGCGACATTCACAGCTTTCAGTCTTGACTTTCAGTCCCGTCGTCTTTACCCGAAGGTGTTCACACTTCACGTCCTTCTGCTTTCAGGTAACGAGCTGCTCTCCCTCCAGAACAAGAAGGGCAGGAACAAAAGTGCAGCTGTGCAGTTTGTCAAGAAAGACTGGGGTAAGTTGAGCAGAATGAACTGAGATAGTTAAACAGTTGTTACTGAATATTTATTGTGAGTATGCGAAAGAAAAAATCTGCATTTAGAAAATCTAAACCTGAGCTGCCTTCATGCTAATTTAAATAGGTTTTGAGTATGTTGTTTATTTATACTGGAGAAGTTGCTAAAATCCTCTCATTGGTTAGATGTGTCTGGGGTGCGAGCGAGACACTCAACACAGGAAGAAGGTCCTGAATAAAGTCCAAATATTAAAAAACTTCAGGTCAGACCCTGATTCGTTCTCTGGTTATCTGGCAGCAGCTGTTGATTTCTCTGGCTTTCAGCTCATACTTTGCAGAGTACACCTTGTTGGGTCAGATCCAGGTCAGATCAGAACACTGCTCCAGAATTAGTTTGCGATACAACCGAGTCCTCTTCCTCTGAAGGGTCTCCTGTGCACAACTGATGTGTTCAGATCCGCTTAAAACAAATCGTTCCAAGAGGGGAAACAATACAAGTTTGTGAATGCACCTAAAAGATGCCTGATTTTTATGCCTCTGCGCCAGTGAGAGCCAGAGCTGGACGCATGTTGTTTTCGGGTCGTCCAACCGTCCGTCCCATTCTCGTGGAGGCGATATCTCAGTAACGCCTTGAGGGATTCTCTTCAAATTTGGCAGAAATGTTCACTTGGACTCAAACTGATTCGATTTTGCTTGTCAAAGATCAAAGTTCAAGATCATGGTGATCTCACATTCTTGTGAATGCAATATATCAGGAACGCCCAGAGAGAATGTCATTCTGACACACTGTGACCTCACAAAACACCCAACCGGTGGAGGCAGATGGCCCCGCCCACCCTGAGTCCAGTTCTGCTCGAGGTTTCTGCCTCTTAAAAGGAAGTCTTTCCTTGCATCTGTGGCCTAGTGCTGCTCTTGGTGGGAATTGTTGGGTCTCTGTAAATAATACTATAAAGAGAAGGTCTAGACCTGCTCTATTTGAAAGGTGCCTCGAGATAACTTCTGTCATGAATTGGCATTATAAAAATAAAAGTTGACTTGATGTTTTTGATCATAAATCACAAATTCATTTAAATTATGGATGGGGTGAGCCTCAGGAAGATATTGGAAGTTTAATCTTACTATATCTTAAAAATCTTAATATAGTTCATTCTGTATACAGTTTGTATGGAAATGGAATTTGGACACAGCTTTGATTTCATGACACTGCCATAAAAGGGGGAAGTGATATGAGTCCTGTTCAGACAGTGATGTTGCTCAGTCTCTAATCTCTGTCCGATCTTCCAGCCTGTAAGGAAAAAGCCAAAGCAGAGAAGCTGAAGAAGAGGTGGGTCCACAAGCAGCAGATTCCCTCCTGCTGACCGGTCGTCTCCACAGACCTCCGCCGGGGCCTGCAGACCTCCACTGCACCGGCAGCACGTTGGATTTTTAATGGACAACAAACACGGCCGACCGTCAGAAACACAGAGGAAGAGGTTGTTTAAATTTAGGCCGGGACACTGACTGAATGTGGGAACAGAAGCGGCCTCAGTCCCCTGGTTTATCACCAGGACTCAGACAAAAGATGTGCAGGCGCAAACAGATGGGGGAGTGAGATTACACCAAAATAAAAGTCCTTTGTTTTCATAGCCAGAGGCTCCTCTTCGTCTTTATAAACTGGGACGTTTCCTCGCATCAACTCTTTGCTGAGTTTCTTAAACAGCAGAACATGTGGAGATACAGTTGTTCAGGGTTTATCTCATGATTTGTTTTATCTATGATGATGACATTTACTTCATACTCAGTTAATTGCTGAGATGTAAGAATCAGATGACCTGTTCCCTTTTTTCTGTTCAACAACTGTATTGATAAATGCTTGTTGTTATATCTGTATCTTTAAATATGTTTTATAAAAACTAAATAAAGGCTTGAGTGTACACACACACACACACTAGCTTTACTGCTTCAAATGATCAAAATAGTCAGTGGCCAAGGGGAAAACAAATTACACAAAATAGTCAGTAAAATGTCTAAACAAAATGTTGCATTTTTTAATTTGTTTTTCAGAAATGAAAGATTAATTTATTAAAGGAAACAAAGAAAGGGCAGTCACATATTTATACATTAACATGGTTCTGCATGTGGCTGAATATTTTGGCAAAATAAATAATGTAAAAGGATTGATGAATGTATGGTCAGTGGGACAAACTACAACATGCAGCTCATCTAAGATGGAATGACAGCATTTTGGCACGGATCAGAAGTGGCGTCACGCCAGCTATAGGCCAATGCCCCCTCCTTGTGAGTCGGGAGCGCACAGACTGCGCACAGGTGCCAATTTGCTCTAGCCTCTCGTGGCGATTGGTCGCTGCTAGTTGCGCGAAAAGGAGTCTGGAGGTCTGGGTGAAGAAAGAGCTAAAGTAAGGAGTGGAGGTCTGGAGGAACGGATTTTTCCTCTTGATTCTTCGTCCTTTTCTCTGCATTATTATTATTGTCTTTTTTTCAGAAGCTGCAAGTTCCACGAGAGACGCGGGAATCTTGGCTGAAGCGCTCAGGAAGTTGGAGACTTTGTACAATCTAACAATGGCGCGAAGAGGACTGCTATTGCTTCTCTTCAGCCATCTCTTCTTGGAGGCTTTAGCTGCGATTGGTAGGTGTTGACTGATGACGTGCAACCTTTTTGCACCTTTGTTATGTCTCACCTGTTATACCTTAACTTTCTCTTGGAGATCACGTCTGCAGGGATTTAAGTCAGACCATGTAAATGTTATGTTATCATCATCATGTAAAATAAAGAACTAAGAATATGGGGATAAGAATAAGGATTTATGAAGGCATTTCATTCACACCAAAAATATTTCCAAAGTACCTTTCAATCACTGCAAACTGACTCACAATAAGTCCTGATGTTAAGATTTGCTTATTACATAGAAATATTGCACATTTTTCACACTTCAGCCGGTCAAAAATGCATTATGAGCTTTAGCACATGTTGCTACTGAAGCTTCAATTGAACAAATTATTAATTGAGAAAATTAAATCTGATCATCCTATATGAAATTATATACTGTATATATGAAACATTCATGTACAAATTGTATATGAAACCTATTAGAAATTGAAATAATTTCATATATTGATATATATATCTAGCCTATACAAATATATACGATTATGTGTGTCTACATATGTCTACAATATATATTATATCTGTATGTTTATATTGTAGACATATGTTACATAAATATATATCCATCCCAGTATATGTTGATATTGATATAACAGTAGAGTTAAAAAGTCTGAGACACTTTCCCAGAATGTGATTTAGACATGTTTAAAATTAATAAGAAAAACTGATTTTTTTTTAACATGTATGTTGTTTTAGTAAACTTGCATGAATAAATTAAATATATAATGTTAACACATAATTTTTACATAGAGCACATATATGTTCTATGTAAAAATGTATCACAAATATTTCTAATATATAAACACACAAATTTTACTATGGGCCTTCCATATATGCTATAAACGTATATCCTCATATAGCCACAGGATGAATATATGTGACAATAATATATCCTGTTATAGGTGACATATATGGCAACATCACTCTTCATATAGGGACATATACTGTATGTCATTTATTACATTTCTGTATGGGTAGTGATGATCTGAAAAATTGCTCTCCACTAAATGACTGAACAACTTTCCGCCTTTTCTTTTGCTGCAGATACCTGTGGGGATAATATAACGTTGAACTCTGCAGCCTTCTTTATCACCCCTGGCTTTCCCATGGTATACCTGCCCTCCCAGCAATGTGTGTGGGTAATAACCACCCCTGAGCCGGATCAGAAGATCCTCCTCAACTTCAATTCTATTTTTCATCTGGAGGGCAAGGACTGCAAGTAAGAGCTCGCTCTCTCCCCTCCACAGTCATGAGTAGATAGTGCCTAGATAAAAAGGGTCACAAGTCATAAAGGTTTGGAGGCTTGATCTAGTGTCAAATCCAGAACTGAAAGACAGTTTGCCTCGCTACCTTTGGAATCTGTGGTCTGAGACCAGTGTAACAAACCATTTAGATCTGAAGTCACCTTGCATCTCACACACATATAACATGTGAAGCCTCCACAGGCTCAGTGATTCAGTCAGATCCAGCGCAGTACAGAGAAAGGCGGGAACAAACACACTTAGGATGTTTTTACGCCTAAAGTTGGTTTGCCCTGGTCCGATTCAGCTGATGAGTTTGTAAACTTGTATTGTGTATTTCCCCTTGGTTCGGTTCGCTTTCACATGGAGAAAAATTCAAATGGACTAAAGTGCATCATTTACAAACCATGTGAAAATGTTCACTACTCTTATTAGTCAGATTATCTGGCTAGAGCAGGAAAGTAAGCACAGGAAGAAGGTTACAGGAACTGTCGAACTCAAACTAGTGAGTTCACCTGCTGGTGGAGTCGGATCGAGTTTAGAACCCCTCCAGCGTTCGTTTGGGACTGGACTGAGACCACCTCCGCAGAAACGTCCTGCTGCGACTGTTTTGGTCCACATCGAAGTGTTAATGCTGTTTTCACACCTGCCCAAACGAATCTTACCAAGGGGCAAAACGAACCAGGGTTCGGTTTAACCAGACTATAAAGCAAAGGTGTGAAAGCATCCTTACATATATGCTCATATAAAGTAAAAATACCCACTTCTGAGTTACCCTTTGCACTTAAAAATGCGCTTTGACTCATGAGCACACTACAGAAATCATCCAGGATTTAATATGTGACAGGCAAGAAGTAAGAGTCACAAAGCTTCATTTAGAGGTATATATGAATGTCATCAGCATAAAAACGATAAGACACACAATGATTCCTTGAGGAACACCCCATCTTAACTCAGCTGTTGGAGAAATGGAGTTATCTGGGGCAACTGAGAAAGTTCTGTTTGAGAGGTAAGAGTGTAATAGGATTTAGGGCTGAGCTCACCTACCCATGTTTCTAGTCAATGTAGGAGGATACTATGATCGACTGTGTCAATGACGTACTTAAATCTAAAAGAACTAAAAGCAAGTAGTACCTTTGTCAGCAGCCAACAGTACATCATTGGTATTCTTAACAAGAGCTGCCTCTCTGTGATGTTGCACTCTAAAACCAGACTGGAAACTATTTAAAAGATTATTTTTGTTCATAAAAGATGTCAATTGAAATGAGTTTTCTTTCTCAATAACCTTAGATGAAAAAAAGACAATTAATTACTTAAGGATAGAGGGTCCAGATTGGGCTTCTTTAGTAGGGGATGAACAACAGCGCATGTTTAAAACGGTCTGGGAAAGAGCCAGAGGCCAAATAACTGCTAAAAATTACTAAAATAACAGGACTAGAAGTAACTTAACAGTTTCATAAAACATTGTAGAAGGAACAAACAGCATTGCTAAACAATCCACTGGGCCAGGTTAACGTAAAAATCAGTTATACTTTGCAACAACACAAACCTAAAGTCGTATCTCCTCTCTGCTCCTACAGGCACGACTATGTGGAGGTTTACAACGGCGGCGACGAGCTTTCGCCCTTGTTGGGAAGGTATTGTGGGTCGGTTGCACCACGCCCGTTCATCACCAGCGGCAACCAGGTCCTCATCAAGTTTATCTCTGATGATGAGAACGATGGGGCAGGATTCGCTGTTCACTACGAGGTCTTCAAGCTAGGTGTGTAGTGGTCTGCGGTCTGCAGGTGGAAACTTATAAGTTTTCATTATCACATGAAATTATGATGCAGTTCTATCATGCTTGTAATAACAACTAGTGGTGCGCAGATCGATACTGAAATATCAATACTTCCGATTCCAAACGTTTCTGTTCTAGGATTGATTCTCACATTAAAAGATTGATACCTCAACTAAATAATTTGGGGTAAATGTCACAATAGAAAGTAACAACACTATCACCGGGATCTAGTCTAAATAATACCTGGTTGATAGGAACTACTTCTCCTATGGCTCTGTAAATACTTGGCCATTGAACAGAGTGTTGACATTTATGGTGGCCGTCGTGTGTGGAACTTCTTCAGACAAAAGATGTGAATCCGGAATGTTTTGTAAAAAGGTTGAGGCAAGCATTTTCAAGGGAGCCTGATTCAGATGCTGAAGTGTCAATTAACATGCAACTCTCAAGTTGATTGGTCCGTAGGACATCTTCTTTTGATCTTTTGAAAGTGCTATTTTTCTTTATTATTAAGGAATAAAAGAGTAGTCTGATTGAAATCCATCTTGTTTGAAATGGTTATGCTTACTTATCATTTCCCTTCTCACAACATATTAAGCTTTTGTACAAAGTATCGGTATCGTATCGGTATCGTATCGGTATCGGCGATATCAGCCTGGGTATTACTTGGTATCAGATCGGAAAGGAAATCAGTGGTATCGCACATCACTGATAACAATGTCTTTGACTATGGTCATTTTATGTTTTTACCACTTGTTTCATGTCACAGTAAGGTTATGTGATGTTCTCAGGTTTCTCTTGTATTTTTACTTTGGTATATTTGGTGTTACCACAGCTTGGAAATGATGGTCAAAAGAAATAAAGAGGCAAGCTATAATAAAGTGGAATGATACTACAAAATACCCCAAAAGCAAAAGCAATTCTGTTTTCTTGGTTGCTTGACAAAACTAATACCCACTAACATTTCATATGTTTCCACATTGAGGCGCCAATGTTGTCCAAGGTTGTCCAAACAGCCTGGGCTAACCTGAGCTGAACCGGCACACCCACTGTTTGGCTCAAAGCCTTTCTAACAGCCTTTCTACATTTGTATTTGCTCTTCCCTCTTGGGTCCACTTGACTAGCTGCCAAAATGGCAAGATGCCTGTGATTACTCAAAACAGGGTCCAATCAGATGTAAAGGGAACTTGCAATATGCATGCCAGTTTTAGATGCCCAGAAGGGTCATAAACTGATAATATTTCAGTTTATATGTGCATTTCCATGTCTATATTGGGTTTTGCTACAGGAGGCACAAAAGTTTCTTAAGATGATATTTTGCCACATTTAAAATTCAAAATCATGACAGTAGTAGTAATATGACAACAGGTGATCACCCCTTACCGCTCTCTAACCCCTGATAGCTCACACATCTATCCAAACACATCTTGACCCTTTAAAAACTCATCAGTTTCTTCTCCCCTCATAGGTCCAGATTGTTCCAGAAACTTCACTGATCCCCAGGGTGTTATCACAACACCAGACTTCCCCAAGAATTACCCCAACAACCTCGACTGCACTCTCATGATCTTCGCCCCCCAGCAGAAGTCAGAGATTGTGTTGGAGTTCAACAGCTTCAGCATGGAGCCCCACAGCTTCCATACAGACCCCGACAACTCCTGCAAATATGACTGGCTGGAGATCTGGGACGGCCTCCCTGCAGGTGAGGAGACGATCTGGATGAGGTTGAGATAGACGAGAAACATGGATGAAATGTTGATGGAAATCTGGGTCAGTAGAAAAAGAGCAAGGACTCTGTTGAAGGCTTTTCAGGACATTGAGAGAACTATGGTTCCTCTGTAGTTAGGGCATTTGCTTGACCAGGTAGCCTTCTTTCCAATCTGCTGGTTCTTATTCTTTCTACCAGATCTACAGAGATGGCCAGTTCTTCGCTCTTCAGATGTGTGAGGGCATTTTTTTAATTTCCAGGTTGGTGGGCTTTCCACAGTTTATGGGCAAGTCCGTTGAATGTCCGGAAGGTTGGATTGTGTCAGTCTGTTCAGGAGTTGTTCAAAATGCTCTGCCCATCTCTACTGCTGTTGCTCTAGTCCTGTGATTGTCTTCGCTTCTTTGTCTTTCACCAGTCGCTCTGGCGCAGCTGATCTTTCCTTTTGCTGCTTCTGCTTCTTTTGCCAGGCTGTCGATTTGTTTTATGTTTTCTCTTGTCGTTTGCGCTTTTCTTTACCTTTCTGTTGACCATATCTCCCCTAGTAATTGCTAGTATCCACTTTTTCTGCTTGTGTTTCTTTAGTTCAATCACTTCCTGATGTGTTCCTGTGATGGTCTCTCTTTTATTTCACCGTTCGTCTTCCATGTTGTCCTCCTCTTCATTGCTCTGTTCTTGCAATCCTTGGAATCTCTTCTTCAGATTGAGCATGGACTCCACCCTTTTCTGTGTCTTTCAAAAGGTAGGAGTTGAAGTTCTCTTTGACGCTGCTTCCATTCGGCGCTTCCTCAGCTTCAGCATGGCGACTAGTAGGTGGTGATGTGATGCCATGTTTGCTCCTCTCTTCACTTGTACATTAGGTCCTACAGTGATCTCCTGAACTTCCTGGTTATCCAGAAGTGATCTACCTGGTTCTCAGTCAAACCATCCAGTGATACCAAGGTCCCCTTATGGATCCTCTTGTGTTGAAAGATGACTAGGTTGATCAGGGAACAGGTGTCCGCGAATACCTCTCCATTCTTATTCATCGCTCCTAAACCCTACTTGCCCATCACTTCTTCACAGACTGTGTTGTCTCTTCTGATCTTTGCATTGAAATCCCCATGAGAATACTGATGTTTGGATAATACTTAGTCTTCTGCCTCAAAGGTATGACATCACTCATGAGAGGTGAGAGTTGACAGATTGGAGCTGACGGGATCAGCTGCTCACTCTGATTGTTTGATGCCTTTTCATCAGAGCAGATTAAAGTTTTGGGCTTCCAATTTAAATTGGACACTTTTAGACATGAGTTCTGTGTCGATGGAATATAACAGATTAAAAACAAGTCTGTGATTGTGTGTTTTTGTTTCAGTCATGAAGCCTTTATCAGGACAGTGAGGGCAGGGAAGGACAATGAGAATAATACAAGCAGTCTGTAGTGGATGAGTGATGAAGCTAACGCTCTCCATTTTCTCCACCTCCCCTGCTTCATCTCTCGTTGCCTTTGTCTCCCTATCACCCTTTTCTCCCCTCTTCTTTTACTTTCACTCCCTCTCACTTCATCTCTCTTCGTTGTTGCTCTCCTTCTTATTCATTTCCTTCCTCCTTCCCTTTTGAATCTCTCCTCCTTTGTCTCTCTTACCCTCCTTTCATTCCTCAGTGGGTTCCCACATTGGCAAATACTGTGGCTCGTCCTCCCCGGGCCGCGTGATCTCCCACAGTGGCATCCTGTCCATGATCGTCATCACTGACAACCAGCTCACCAAAGAGGGATTCTCCGCCAACTACACCATCCACAACAGAAGCCCTAAGTGTGAGCAGCTGGATTAGTGATGAGAAATAAAGGAGGTGGGGGGTGTGATGTGGCATCAGGAAGGACCAGGGTTCATTTCCTGGATATTTGTGTTGTGTAGTATAATGATACTGTTACAGATCATAAAATGCCTCATCCACTGCTGATTACCCGGATAAGTACTGGAATGTTTAAATTAATTCAGCCTCAACCTAAGTGTCCTTAAGCATGACACTGAATCCCTTCCAGCTCTAAAGGTGCAGGGTCCAGTTGCACAAAACACCTTACATTAAGATTTTCCTTGAAGTCTGACTTAAGGATTCTGTAAAACAAAAATGGTTGCTCAAAACACCCTTAGGTTTTCTCCATATGGTCTCCTTAGAAAATGTTCGCTTAAGTATTTAAGGTTTTCTCCTTGTCTTAGTCTTAAACTTAAGGAATCACTAAAAGTCAGTTAAACCATTGCACGAAAGACCTTAGCGACCAAAGTAAGGAAAAAACTAAAGGTACCTCTGACTCTAACTGTAACATGACTGAATTTATGGCGATAAATCAAGTAAATGAGGCATGGGAGAACCCACCCTTAACAATGAGGAATTGATTCTACATCACAGATTTGACCTGTAGTCAGTTTATAATTAGTCCGACCCTAGAGTTTTATCACTTTTTTCAGACTGATACAAATTCCTAGAATGTGATTTATGGTTATAATATGTAAGAATCAGTGCTTTTTTGATGTCATCATAGTTTTTGCTCTAGTGGTGGATGTTTGGATTTATGATGATCCCCAGCTGGAAGTCTAAGTTTCCTCACTCTGTCCCTACTGATGCTCTCAAGTCTTGAAAAAATGTGCCACCAACAACTTTCTGCCTTTTCCTGTGCTGCAGATACCTGCGGATCTAATTTACAAATAGACTCCGGAAGCTATTTGACCACCTCGGGCTTTCCCTATGAATACCTGCCCTCCCAGCATTGTGTGTGGGTGCTAACTGCCCTTGAGCCGGGTCATAAGATCATCCTCAGCTTCAATCCTTATTTTAATCTGGAGGGCAAGGACTGCAAGTAAGAGCTCTCTCCTCACTCTCTCTCCCCTCCACTGTTGGTTTGAATGTATTTATGTATATTTTTGTATTTTTATTTTGTATTTTTTAGCTTTTTTTTTTTTTTTAAATTGAAGACTTTTTTGGGCGGGCTATGCCACATCAAATGGACACGGTTTGGGATATGGTCCTCTTTATACAACCCTTTAACTGTACTTCTCCAGGCTTTGAACAAAACATGGTGGCACCTATGTCCCCTATTGGACATTCCTCACCAGGCTGGAACAATGACTGGCCTGAAGCCACATGACCAAAGGCCCAACCCACATTTGAAGTAGCCTCATAGGCACACGACTGGCTGTCTTGTATTTTTTTTGTTCCATACCCACGTTATTTAAATGTCCCCCGTGATGTGTTCTCTGATGACCCCACTGAAGGCCACAAGTCAAAAAACATCAGTCAAATGAAGTTCTTCTGTTCACTACAAGTGTCACTGGATCACAGGTCATAAAGGTTGCCTTCTTACCTTTGGGATCTGCGTCTGGGGAATGTCAAGTCCAGTCAGTTTTTAATTATATGGTGCCAAATCACAACTGAAGTTATCTCAAGGCACTTGTCATGAAGAGCAGGTCTACACTGTAATCTTTGTAATAAAAGCACTTGGCGACGGCTGCAAGGAAGCATGTTTTCTCATGTTCAACACACTTACATATAGGCATACGTCCTTTGCAACAGCACAGACCTAAACTCGGATATCTTCTCTGCTCCTACAGGCACGACTATGTGGAGGTTTACGACGGCGGTGATGAACTTTCGCCCTTGTTGGGAAGGTATTGTGGGACGGTTGCACCTTCCCCGATAATAACCAGCGGCAACCAGGTCCTCATCAAGTTTATCTCTGATGATGAGGTACAGGAGGCGGGATTCTCTGTTGTCTACAAACTCTTCAAGCCAGGTGTGTAGCGGTCTGTGGTCTGCAGGTAGTCACACAAAGGTTTTCACCAGCTGGTGGAATCATGCCAGGAGCCAGAGAGCCACAATCCCCTTCTACAATTTACAGCCATTGGATACAGTAAGAGTGACACAATGTGTATGGGTGATCATCCACAAGACTCCATACGTCTTACATTTAATAATTGGTGTATGGTGCCGATTGAACCCCTATGAAAACTCTTCTTTTATATTTTTTTCAACAATTTTTTTTAATGTAGAAACATTTTAGTGTTAGACTACAGTCATTTTATGTTACCATTTGTCTTCTCTCAGTAAGGTTATGTGATGTTCTCAGGTTTCTCTTGTGGTTTTGCTTGATGTAAAATCACCAAAGCAAATGTTAAAACAAGTGTTACATCTTGAATTCTGAGTTCTCTCAAATTAGCCAAATTTACTGGAAAGCACTTGCAAATGCACAAATGTGCTGCAAATTCAGAAAACATCATCAAACACACACAAACGCGCTGCAAAGCAAAGGTCTCTCTCTCTCTCTCTCTCTCTCTCTCTCTCTCGTTGGGACACACTTGTTGTTTAATGCCCAGTTGTGACTTTTGAAGTTAAAAGCATTGACCAGTGTGTCCCAGCAGGGTTCATCATCTTTTAGTGTCCTCAGGAAACACTTCCGTTGTGTTGCAAGTATTTGCAGCACTTGTCAAATTGATGATGTTTTCTTAAGTTTGCATTTTGTGTATTTGCATGCGTTTTGTTTAAAAAGTTTTAAATTAAGAGGCAAGTTATAATAAAGTGGAATGATCCATTAAACTGCACAAATACCCTAGAGTAACTTTTCCGAGAATACGAAAAGTGTTGCAAAATTGTCCAACCTTGGACGTCCCACGCTTGTATTTGGTCTTCCCTCTTGATCCAAGAGGGAGGACCAAATACACGCTTGTATTTGGTCCTCCCTCTTGATCCAAGAGGGAGGACCAAATACAAGCGTGGGACGTCCACTGATGAGTGATCACAGGCAACTTTTGGCGGCAACTGAAGTGGATTTCAGTTGCCCCCAAAATGGCAAGTTGCCTGTGATCACTCATCAGTTTCTATGAATGAAAAGGGGACATGCGTTTATTCCTCTGTTTGGTTTTGCACCCTGGAGAGCCATGACAGGATCCAGGAGTAACAATCCCCAGGTGGCGTTATGTTGAAAAGTCCTGTTTTGAACCATTAAAAAAAAAGAATCCTATTGTACTGACGTGAGGAGTGAGGTAATAAAACAAGCTGTACCGACCTCTAACCCCTGATAGCTCACACCTCTGTACAAACACGTCTTGACACTTTAAAAACTCATCAGTCTCTTCTCCCCTCATAGGTCCAAAATGTTCCAGAAACTTCACGGATCCACAGGGTGTTATCACAACACCGAACTTCCCCAAGAAATACCCAGAAAACATGAACTGCAGTCTCATGATCTTCGCCCCCCAGGAGAAGTCGGAGATCGTGTTGGAGTTCAACAGCTTCGACATGGAGCCGGACTTCCTACATAAAGACCCCGACAACCCCTGCACATACGACTGGCTGGAGATCTGGGACGGCCTCCCTGCAGGTGAGGAGACGATCTGGATCAGGTTGAGGTCAATCAGAAACATGGATGAAATGTTGATTGAAATCTGGGAGCGTTAGAACAAGAGCGCAACCTGACTAGTGAAAGAAACATTTCTAGTCCAGAAAGTGCAAAACAATCTAATAATATAAGCAGTCTGCAGTTGATGAGTGATGAAGCCAACGTTCTCTTTCTTCACCCCCCCTTTTGAATCTCTCCTCCTTTGTCCCTCTTACCCTCCTCTTCATCCCTCAGTGGGTTCCTACATTGGCAAATACTGTGGCTGGACCCCCCCAGACCAAGTGATCTCCCAGAGTGGCATCCTGTCCATGATCGTCATCACTGACAAGGCTATCAACAGATCGGGATTCTCTGCCAACTACACCATCCGCGAGAGGATGGACTAGCTATGAGAAGTGAAGGTGGTGTTTTTCAGGGAGAGAGTACTGGCAACTACTGTTGTACCAGTGTGCAGGGGGGGAAACTTCCCTGATGAGGATGAGCAGCTCAGCTAATGAGGTGTTTTCCTAGCAACCGCTGTAGAGATAACTAATAGTTTAGAATTAGACCAATCAGAAAACCCTGTGTGTGACTGTTGACCAGTCGGTTATATTGGATCTCTCTAGGAGAAGCATGGTGTAAGAGGGATAAAAGAATATATCCGTCCTGTTCCTTTACATGTCAGATTTGTACTTTGTAGGATAAAAATTGCTTGACTCCATATTGAATTTCCTGTCCTCCTTTGATTTGGTTCCCATGATCCCAGGAGGGAATGTTTGTTCACATTTGTTGAAGAACCGAAGACATCAGAAGAAAATCCACAAATGATTGAATTAGTGGTTTGTCGATTAACTCGGCTTCAACCTACAGTAAGTGTTCATCTCACATCTCTCGACGCCATGTCACAGGCCACTGAAATTTATAATGTGATCCAGATTGGGAACCACTGGCCAAAAAAAAAAATTAAATCAGGCAAAAACTCTCCATTTAAAGTCATTTAAAATGTTTTTTGTCTGACCAATATTATTTTATCAGATATATTACTACTGAAATATAAAGAGAGAGTAGTGACAAAAAGATGCAGTAAAGAAATGCCAAAAATATGCCTGTGGTCATTTAGAAACTGTTGCAGTTAATTTGTTTTACCTGCAGTGATAGACATCACCTTGAGGAAACTAGTGATGGACATTTTTCATATATCTTTCATATATTCTTATAATACAGACTGACAGACTAATCAATATTGAACATATTGGTTCACTGTAGTCCTATATTATCTAGGTTTAATGGGTTATTTTAAGGAAAGGAAGGGGGGGGGGTTTAAAAGGTTCAGATATGACATCGTCATCAGCTAGTACTGTGTTTTAAGGTCGACTTTCTTAAAGGCTTCACATGTGGGTTAGTGTGTTCAGAATGGCGGGAAAAAATATTTTGCAGGATTATGTTCGGAGAACACGTCATTCAGGATTAAAGTGAACTCTGTACAGCCTCAGCTGCTCACTGGAAGCAGGACTTAAACTGGTTTCACAGGCAGAGGGAAGACTTCAGTTCCAGGCGTCATGCAGCATCCAGACAAGTTCGATCATCATTTGTCATTTTTAATATAAATCTTTTCACCCTCACACAAATTGCACATTTTTTTTCTCCAAATGGACACACAGTCAGCAGTGGACAACTTACTGGTTGACATCTTCCTTATACACCGTGAACTGGCTAAAAGAAGGAGAAACAAAAAGAATAAAATAAGAGACATCTAACTTGATCTTACCACCACTTTACTATGGCATGCATAGGTTTCAGACCTTACTCAGAAAGAGACAACAGACACTTTGTCTAAGAAATTTTCTAAACGATGCCGTGACTGCTTGCAATCCAGGAAAAAAAACAAAAACAACAAAACAAACAAAAAAAAAAGAATAAAATAAAAAAAGCAAGAAACCAACCAAGGTACAGAAAAGCTCTGATCCACCGTGAGGAGAAATGTCAACTCTGGACCCCTGGGAAAAAACGAAAGGAAAAAGATGGAGGTCGTGTCTAGCAAAGGTTTCGGCATTCCTGTTTCTCTGCAAGTGGCGAGCACAAACACACAGGCTTCAAACACAGCTGCGAAGGATTCTTCCTAAAGTATTTGGTTCTTTATTTTTGTAAGTGTGGTATCCACAGTGCAGTTGACAAATACTTTTTTTTTTTTTTTTTTTTCTCATGGTTTTTCCTTTTTGTATTTGCCCCATCGATGCTTTGAGCACGAAGAGGCCGGAGAAGGATCTGGTAAACAAGAAAATAAAAACAAAAATAAATAAAACCTGGTGGACAGAGGAAAGATGATGGGTGGACATGGATAGCTGGAGACAGGTGGACATGGGGGCTTTGCAGACCTAGATGCTATTTCTACTGAAATAGCATCTAGGTCTGCTATTTTAAATATTTGCTATTTTAAGCATTTAGAAAAATTGAGAAAATTATAGCTTGATAGCAAAACACTACCAGGGAAAACTGGGACTGAGCCACTGTGGGGTTGATGTTAAGAATCAGATCAACTGAAAACAAAACAAGCAACTATCCAACATTAAAATTGAACTGAAATTAAAATTCTTATTTTTCAAAGACATAAGTAGACATTTCCTTCGTGTTTGATTTGACTGGAGTATTTATTTGGTCAAAACTGTTATAACTAAAAAGAAATAATTAGGGTTTTAATTTTTTATATTCTTTTGCAATGATAGCTCCACCTTGTGAATTTTTGGGAGCCACTGTTGATGTTAGCATCAGTAATTTGACTTATCCAACATCAGTGTAGGCGGGCACTAAGTGTAGTTCCCATTATTGCTTTAGTTAACCAGCTGGGGAGGCCGAGGTGGCTGCTGCGACACCCTGATGTACCGTTAAGACAAACAAGAGTGCTGCCGGATTTATTTCCATATATGCTGCAGCTAAGACCGCTGATAAAAAAAAAAAAAAAAGCTCATGGTTGCCAGACACGTTTTCGAGGACCTGAGTTTTGGTGCACAGAAAACAGAAACAGCAAGTGGCGGAGCAGTGATGGAAAGCCGATACACCTGACTGAACCTGAGCCGATCAAATTAACTGTCCGATCTGATTTGAATGATAACTGGTTTACAGCTTCCCATGAAAAAAAGAAATCACTATTAAGGGTTGCCATGGGAACCACTAGCTTAGTCCCATCCCTACAAAACTTTAACTCTGTGTCATCATTCAAGTTATGCAATAACATACTTAGAGCTGTGGGTAGAAAATTCACAGCAATAATTGGTCTTGTATCTGCAGCACTAAGCGTGCAGGGGCTGCTGATGATTCAGCAGCTGTTACAACAACATGTGGGAGAAGTAACATCTAGTGGGGATCAAACCAGGCTGACTAGGCTTGCTAGCTTCCACTTTCTGAGGGGAATACAAACTTCACAGCACAATGAATCCTCCCAAACACTGAATGTTACAAAGGGACAGACAGTTTGAATTGCTAACCGCTGATAACCAACACTATTCTGACTTGTTGAGAAAGGAAGAAAATGTCTTGTATCAAGGTTTGGAGATTATAAGACTGCAATGTTATTATTTCTGCTTTTAGTTTTCTGTCCATCCACTAAGTGGCTTGAAGCTTAAACATAAATGTCAAAAAAAAAAAAAAAACCCAAAAAACAACTTTTAATCCCTTTTGAAAAACCAAGAAAAAGTATCAGCTTTCAACTGAGAAGAATTTGAATTTCAGTTCAACTTTAAAATCAAACACAGAGCTCGTTTAGAGGCTGCCTTCACAGCAGCTCAGTTGTTGTGGTCTGAAAAACCTACGACTGCACAGCTGAAAAAAGAACAAGAAAACTCTGTTGTGGGTTAAGGATTAGCAGAGACATTGATACGAAAATAAAGATTAACAATATTTGCATCGGGGGTTATGTGTGTGTGTGGGTGGGTGGGTGGGGGGTTAACAAGTAAAGTGGGGTCAAGGATCATCACAAGGTTCCAATACAAGGTTTCAATTTCAGAAATTCCAGACTTTGTCCAGAAGTATTTGAAGAGTCGTTTTGAACAAATTTAGCAAGGCTGCAGTAAAGAGAGCGATTACTTCACAGCACGTAGGGAAACAACGTGGGAAATTAAAGCGTCTTAGGACCTAAGAGTCGTTCTGTTGGAAGTGGTCAAATATATCAGATTCCCACCTGCACAGGAACCCTGAGTCAACAAAAGGGGAAACAGAAAAACTGTGGACTAGGAACAACCAGCACGTTTCAGGGGTCACTGATGTCAGTACAAAGCATTAAAGGATTGTTTTTTTTTGTTTTTTTTTTTCAAAAATTTCCTGTCATTTGATAACTAAATATCTCGCTCTATTGATATAATTCCATTTTGTTAAAGTCATATATAAACGTTAACATGTACACACGCTCGTCACTGGGAATCGGTGGAATCGGGACCTTTATTATAATAAGTTGGTGGAACTTGCTCTTGCTGGCGCTCAACAAATATACTGTGAATGCAAGTAACAATAATTAATATAATGATAATTAGAATAATAACAATAATAATAATAATAATAATCATCGTCTGCACCATGCCTTGTAAACCTGGAGAAACTAAAAACAAAACAAGAGCCAGGTAACCACGCCTCCTCAGCCCCCCCACCCCCCCACCCCACCCCACACTTCTTCCCATTCATTCCTATCTCGTTCTCTCCCCCTCCATCTCTCCTCCTCCCCCTCCCTCTGTCTTTTTTTCCCAGCAGTCCCCTGCGGTGTTGCAATCACCTCTGCTGCTGTTGATTAAGCTG